GGCAGTGTTAAAAGGTTGTCACATCCGTTCATCCTATGTGCCCAATTTCACGTAAGCGCAAGGACCGTCGAGCGGCTTTATGCACGGTCCGCGTTTCTGCATTCTGTGATACATAGCAGAGAGCAGTTTAACCGATAGCAGCTTAACCGTGACATTGCACACGTTCGCTTGTATATTCGCTTTATCCACTCGACAGGGCTGATACTCGAGCTGCGTGACTTTCGTGGTTTACGCCTTTTTGTGACGAGGTCCCTTTGGGGGACCGCAAAGAGATTGAGAAGTCGAATCCAGTCAGGCACAAACCATAATTCCCGTGAAACGATCTGCCCCCGTTTAATCGTGGAATTATTCACGCGGAAATTCGTAAATTTTAACGCTCGAAGCTCACGTGGAAATCAGCTGGAAATCCCAAGCAGAAGTCACTGGAAATCGTTAGAGATTACCGAAACATTGTCACAATTTTAACGCCGAGTCTCGGCAATCGGTTCCGAGCGGGTTATTCACATGGAAATCAGTGAAAACGATTTCCTTCTTTGAGACCCGATTGCCTTTGACATCATATAGCAGAGAATAATTCGATTCGGTAACGAGGGTCAGTCGACTTTAAAATTGTGGCAATTTTCATTATTTTCAACGATTTCCCCAGACTTCCACTTACGATACGTGATCTCGAGCATTAAAATCCAGGATTTCCTGAGGGAATAACCTTTGTTACTAATTTACATATAACAAAATGTCTGCATGTATTGTATCGTGATGGTGGATATAGGTGGACATCTCTTACGATGCGTCATTGGAAAGAAGGTAGAGGCATCGAGGTCTTTGATATCAGGTGACGGGTCCAACAGTTAATATCGAGGACCTCTGTATCCAGTAGACGGCTTCGGTATGCGAGGGTGTTATGTACACCGTCTTGGGAAACCATAATGAAGCCCTCGGTCTCAGACTTAAGCCCACTCGACCTCAGAAATCCGAAGCTCAGTTGCTTGGATAGACCCTTCCATCGTCCTACAGGAGGGACCGTGCATTGGCTTCCCTGTATGCCGTTGGAGGACCCTCGGTGCTTCGGTTGTCCCGATGTGGATTCCTAGACTGGGAGGTTCCAGCCTGGTGATAATGCAGTTCCCGATATCCAGTCTATAATATCCCTGCTCAAGGACTTCGGCTGCTCTTGTCGCTGGCCTGCATAGAAAGAGCCCTAACACCTTCACTTTTATGGGTACCAGTCCTCTCGAGCGAGGAACAGATTCTACTGTTGCACCCTCCGCCTCTCGTGATCAAGGGTAGTTATTCCGACCTTTTTATCTCTCTTGGACTACATCAAGCTGATTTTTAAGTGTTCCATGCAGATAGCATTCGGTAGGCTGCTTAGATTGCTCCAAACTTTTCGATTAGGTGCAAGGATCCTTGCCAAGCAACATTCCCATCGTCGCTGCCGCATAATGGTTTTCTGGTTTTGAAATGTTCCATGCAGAAAGCATTCAGTATGCTGCTTAGATAGCTCCAAACTTTTCGATTAGGTGCAAGGATCCTTGCCAAGCAGCATTCCCATCGTCGCAACCGCACAATGAACAATTGCTAGGTGACTTTTTTTAATTAAAACCTCCTATCCGCCCAAACCTTGTCGCTAGGTATTTGTTCCTACTCTCTCGGACTACGGCTACAACACCCAACGATCAGCTGATACTTTAGAGCGATAACGTACACGTGAAATAATCCTCGATTTGAGCCTCCATCCAGGGCCGAAACCTATCCTGGAGATCTAGGAGATCCTGCAACACTTCTCGATCGCTCTTTAGAGGCGCCCAGCTCAGCTTCCTATCCAGGATCACTCCGGGATCACTCCAGGATACTTGACCGAGCCGGAGATGTGGAGCTTCCTCTCATACAACCTGGGACCCTCTAAAGTGCCCAGCTTATACCTTCCAGAGAAGACGATAATTTCCGTCTCCTCCGGATTCACCGAGAGCTTGATCCCGGTGCATCAGCTCTCCACTTCCTTCAGAATCCCTTGAATGAGGTCTATCAGGACGTATAGAAAAGATCCCCGCACCAGGATCACGATGCCATATGCATAACCCCCTGCACGGTACTTTCTATTCAATAGACAAGAGCATATCCACCGACAGGCCCCACGCGAATGGAACCTGCTACGTTAAAGAACGGAAAATTAAATATTTATTTATACATTCACCCGCTGCAAGCAGAAAAACACTTCTGTAAATTAGAAATAGTAACGAAAAGAATAACTATGACTTGATCAACGACTCACTTTGTTGAGGTAGTCCCGATGAAGCAGATGAATATCGGAGTATCCAAAATGAAAATTAAAAACGACTACGTTAAAAAATGCTACGTTAAAGAACGCAAAATAAAATATTTATTTATACATTCACCCACTGCAAGCAGAAAAACACCGCTGCAAATTATAAATAGTAACGAAAAGAAAAATTATGACTTCATCAACGACTCACTTTGTTGAGGTAGTCCCGATGAAGCAGATGAATATCGGAGTATCCAAAATGAAAATTACAAAATGACAGAGAAATTTCTTGTTTGAGTACATAATCAACAGCGATAATAACATGAGCACAGGGTATCGATATCATCTGCATTGCCTCGTGTTGAAGGAAACCCCATTATCATCTTTCACGGCTTATTGATCATAGTTAGGATTCATCCTACGGTTGAATAAAGATTTCGCTGAAATGCCTACTATCGACAAGCACATTGTTGATACATTTCAATCGAATTATCCTTATATACCTCCAGTTTTGCGTAACGTAAAATGCATTCGATGCATAATATCGAGTGTACCTCGGTCGCGGGTTTATCCGCGTTTACGTAAGTTTACTGCAAATTCGCCCGGGCGGATCGAACGCATTTCTTACCGCGTAAATAATGGAACTTAGGGCCGTTAAGGCATTGGCAGATATTCTGCAAAAGCACCAAGATCGCTGGTGGAATACATAGAACCGGCCTGGCTTAAGGTGAAGTGAAATACGTCGAGGAACTTGATCGAGATCGATAAAGAAGATTTTTCTAAATACCTACATTGCCAACGTTTGTTTTTATATTGACAGCTGTGTCGAATTATATTGGGTATTATACTAAATGACATACTCCACCTGTCGTTTTCGTACAATAATTATAAAGAAATCGAAGAAAAACTCAAGAAACCCCCCGGATTCATGGTTTCAGAGGATCTAATTAACTACAGAGGGACCCCCTGCGCCATCTGTGATTTCCAGGTCAATTAAATTTTCCCTCCGAGACCTCGTATTCCCATCGTTTTGGCATAGAAGCGCATAAAACACTTGTTTTGCCTTTATCCCGTTCAAATGCAAGTTTATCGATTACCAGAGTGTTCTAAATTGTCGTAAAATTGTCCTGACCCTTTCGTTTCTCATATCAGAGCCTTCGATAATTGTATATGGATCGAAATATGAGAGCTCGACGGCATTTTGTTTCTGGTCTGGGCTAAATTAAAAAATGTTTTCAAAAAATCCTAATTTTGATTGTGTCAGGACAATTCTTAGATGATCATGGGTCAAAGTTTCGGACAGTTTGGTCCAATACCCTTAAAAAAAAGGTGTTGTATTCGAATCAACTGATTCGAAGGGGGTTTCACTTCACCTTAATGTGCACCCCTTAGGATTATACTATAGGTGTCCTCGTATTTTCCTCTACATTCGGCGAGCTTCGTGCTGCCGGAATTTGTCTCCGTGAGGGCGACGAGATGAAAATGGACCCACGAGAACCGTAACCTGCTTACGCAAACGGCCAGCCGAGCCGGCAACCAAGTGGAATTATAAAATTCTACGGGAAACGTACAGCTTGGGTCGGGTTCGGTCCCCTCTGAATTAAGCAAACGTCGTTCCACTCTTTACGAGACCTCCGAGAATCGGACCGATCCGCCCGATCCATCAATGTGTCGATATTAAATCGCGGCATGACGAAAATAGGGAAGCGTGCGGGGATTACTAGAAAGAAACTATATATCGCCTCTTAAGTCCCTTTTCCAGCTCTTTGAAACATATGAGTACGCTTTGGAAGTAGTTGGTTAATTGAATAAAATCCTTTGGTGGACTCCATTTGGTTCATTTCAGTAAACGTCTTGGTTAAGGGAATGTCAAAGTGGCATCTCGGGGGTCAATCGTTCCGGGACCTTTCTACGAAGTGGGTAGAGGGTTCTGAAATTCATGAAATTTCATTTTTTCATAAAATTTCGTTTTTCATTAATTTTATTTTCTTTCTAGATCTTTGAAACGTATGAGTACGCGTTGGAAATAATTGGTTCATTGAATAAAATCCCTTGGTGGACTCTATTTGGTTCATTTCAGTAAACGTCTTGGTTAAGGGGATGTTAAAATGGCATCTCGGGAGTCAATCGTTCCGGGACCTTTCTACGAAATGGGTAGAGGGTTCTGAAATTCATGCATTTTAATTTTTTTCGTGAAATTTCATTTTTCATAAAATTTCCTTTCTTCGTGAAATTTCATTTTTTCATTAATTTCATTTTCTTTCTAGCTCTTTGAAACATATGAGTACGCTTTGGAAATAGTTGGTTCATTGAATAAAATCCCTTGGTGGACTCTATTTGGTTCATTTCAGTAAACGTCTTGGTTAAGGGGATGTCAAAGTGGCATCTCGGAGGTTAATCGTTCCAAGACCTTTCTCCGAAATGGGTATAAGGTTCTGAAATCCATTAAATTTCATCTTTTTTTCATAGAAAATGTTTTAAATGCCTGTAAACGAATTTTTAACAAATTAAAGTTTCATGAGTGTCGGGTGGATCCTTCTAGAGTCCATATTCACTTTGTAGAGTTTGAAACGATTCGGTACATCCAGTTCGGAGAAAAGTTTCATAAACGCTACTTTCCCGTCATTTTAAGTTAACCAAATTTTAGTTCATTTCATTTGTGAACAGTGAAACAGAAATCGATTGGCGAGACTCGGGTCGATGATACATTTGTTTCTAACTATTCTCTTACTTTCAGGTCTCCTCTTCCACCGAGGTGTCCTGATGTCCGGAAGTGCACTTTCCCCTTGGGCACTGGTCAGAGGGGCATCCGGTTATGCAATGCAAGTAGCGAAACACCTGAACTGTTCTTCGGTAAGTCATTTATGTGCCTAATGATTCGTCTGCACTTCACAACTTAAAAAAACAGATTTATGTATTAATATAACGCCCTGCGTCCTACTTTCCCTAGTTTCACGATACAAACTTAAATATGTAATTCAGCAGACAAAAAAACACAGACTACAAAATAAATAAAACAAAATAAAGTACATGACCATTGCGCAAACTAGTGCATAAAAAAAAAACTACAGATATATTGTCCATAAGTGGCGACGAAATTCCTGGACACGCACAAATGCCCTCCAAGGCTGTTAATAATTTTCTAAGCATTGAAAGCCCCTCGCGATAATGATGGTTCCTCTTAGGGGCGACTCTAAGGCAGGAACGACGTAAATTTCTGAATAATTAGATTACAAGTGCGCGGATACGCGACCACCTAAGAGCACGTTGGTGAAATACCATCAAAGTTCTGCATTCCGGGATGGAGTTCCATTCGATTGCGGTGCCATGATGCATGCATTAGCTGCACCGAGGGGAAGGAGGGTGATAGAAATCAGGATTCGTAGAGGAGATTACTGTCGGTGCTAAAGCGATTCATTTGCGTTCGCTGCTGACCGAAGGCAATCGTTCAATTATCAGCTCTACAGGCGCGGATCACCGCCCGGAAGCGGGTTGCTTTGTAAGGACGCGAGCTCGACCGTTTCCGCAGCTCATTCGGGATCTGGAGAACCGCCATTGCTAGTTCCACGGCAACGGGACCATTAAAGTACTGCCCCATCGATCGCAAAGCGAGACGACTTCCGCCAAGGACCTTGAGCGGCTAATTCGAACGCCCTGAGGAAAGTCCTGGATGGCGGAACCTCCGATACCAGGACCTAAACTCGTAACGCAATGTGAAATTCGGGTCACTGGATTTATGTACAAACAATCCCAGAAGGTGACTTTTTACAGGGAAATTCAGTTTTCAACTCGCGTAAAACGAGACGATTTCCTCCAAGAAGCTTATGGGGCTAATTCGAACGCATTGAGGAAAATCTTGGACAGTGGTACCTTTAATACCAGGACCTAAACTCGTAAAGCAGGGTAGAATTCGGGTTATGAAATTTATATAATAATAATCCCAGAAGGTGATTTTTCGAGGAAAATTCAATTTTCAAATCTCGTAAAACGAGACGATTTCCTCCAAGAAGCTTATGCGGTTAATTCGAACGCATTGAGGAAAATCTTGGACAGTGGCACCTTTAAGGGAATGTGAAAGTGGCATCTGAAAGCTCAATCGTTCATAAAACTTTTCTACGAACTGGGTGTCTCAAATCGTTTCATACTTTAAAACGTGAATACGGAGACCCTAAGGTAGGTCCTGAAACTGGCGAAATTTAATTGTTTATAAACTATTTTTAAAATAAGTATAAACAAATTTGAAAAGAATTGAAATTTCATGAGTTTCAGCACCTTCTTTATGGTCTCCCTATTCACGTTGTAACGTTTCAAGCTATTCGGTAAACCGAGTTGGGAGAAAAGTTTTATAAACAAAACCTCTTCGACGTCGCTGTCACATCACCTTAATACCAGGACTTAAACTCGTAACGCACGGTGAAATTCGGGTTATTAATTCGGGTTATTATTCAGTAATTATTTTTATATAAAACAATCCCTGAGTTTCATTTTGTAGGAGGAAATTCTTCTTTCGTCGATTAAGTTCATCGCGTATAGTGAGGGAAATTTCGTTGCAAACGTACAAACGAACGATAAACGCTCTAACGAAGAGAAATATCTACAGTTAATGCGACAATAAACGATAAACCGTTTTCTGATTCCAGGCTGCAGGCGACCCCCAGAGTCTACTTCGGTGCTTACGAGAAGTGCCATTGTCATTGTTGGTGTCTGTTCCGGTAGAAGGGTTAAAGTTTGCGCCGGCGTTCGGTCCCAGCATAGACGGTGTTGTGATAGATCCCGGGGATCCGGAAGATCAGGATTATACTTTGCAAGTAGACACAATCAACACCCTCAACAATATCCTCTTGCGGAAGGACGTCATAGCAAGGCTTTCCAGGTAAACGAAACTTCACTTCTGTGGTGATAAATAATTTTTCATATCACCCGTACAATATAAAAGACAACGAAAAAATGCTTGCATTAAGTGCACCGAGAAATGAAAGCTGAATTTATAAAAACAACTGAATTTCCTATAACGATAAGTGAAATTAATTCTCACGTGGAGAAATAACGTTTCCTATCACTATTTTAAAATGGCTTTGGTACGTACTTTGGTACGTTACTTCTCACAAATGTAACTAATTTAAACCATAAGCTGACAACAAGTCGAACGAATTTCAGGTGTCAAAGCTCTAGGGCATGTTAATTCATAACGAAATATAACGAGCAAATTGGCGTGGGAATGATTTATTAACAGGAATATCGTGCATCTCGGTAACAATGCATGTTGTACATCGGGATCGTCTATTCATTCGATTATTCATTTATTGTCACGATTATGACGTCACGCGACAATATCAAAATGATCATAATTCAGGGGAGAGAATGGTCCCTTTGAAACTGACGATGTAGAGACATGTAATACAGTCAGATTTCACAATTAAACCACAAATACACAATAACTCACCAACTAGTAATGGACTTCTATTCATTACACGTGGTGGAAGTTGAAGTTGAATTTCAACTCTTTTTTCCTACTAACGAAGAAAGTACGCCTGTTATACCTTACTGATTTTACTGCTTCTGATATATGTTGTATATTGAAAGGTAACAGACATATATATTTACCTTACACGTGCTAATTTGGGATTTCAAAGGGTGTAAACCACTCCCAAAGTCAACCCCCAAAGACAGTTCCTTGTTATTTTCTAATAACCGGAATTAAAAATGATATGTGCTTGGAATCACTGATTAACCCTCAAGAGAATGCAGGAAATATCAACCCATTTGCACGAAAATGTTAATAACTTATTTTTGAGGGTCAAGTCCCAGGGTTCTTTTCACTCCTTAAATTATCAAACTACCATGTATTAACAAAATGCGTGTCTCTTTTTAATATTTTACAACATAAGTCGAAACGAACAAAATCGCCTAGGTACATCTGGAACGCATTCCTCGGAAGTATCTCCCGGTATTCCTGTTCGCAATTGTTAAAATCCTCTCCCTCTCGAAGGATCAATTAGTCCCCAGGGAATCCCGGACGATAACTTTCCGAGGTTCCATTTGAACCCAAGGCTGATCAACCAGAAGCGGACGTCGAAGAGCCGTCTAAGCCCGAAAATTAATAGCTGGGCGAAAATCCTGAAAGGAGCGAGCGGAACAATGCCGGAATTTAGCCCCAGCAGTCTTCATTAAATGAAATGGAAAAAATGAACCTCGCCGGCGGAGGGAAAGAGGGATAGAGAAATGGGAGGGGAAAAAAAAAATATACGAAAGCCCACATCGCTGGGCATGCGATACGTGCAGCGGCATGAAGACCACCTCGAAACGTGGAGGCCATTTCGGAGAGGACGGTGATCACGGCAGCAAGGACGACACCGAGTGTACCGGAACCGAGCTCTATCGTAAAAGTTAATAAGCCCGATTACACTGGGAAAGTGTCCCAGGGAAAGTAACTGCGACGGAAATTATTTACGGCCCCGCGGAGCCGGAATCCTGCAACCGGCAAGACTATCTGCAATTGAAAAGACCCGAGATTAACCCAATACATACCCCCAAATTAGTTCGGAGGAAATACTTTTAACATGGAGATGTCTTATAGCTGGGAGTCAGTCAAAAATTAGCGTCACATTGTCTCACAACGCGTTCTTTGTCTCCCTGATTTTCCGATACTTTTCACTTACGAGCCCGTTGCAATGCTCTTCCAACATTGTTACTTTCCATCCGATTTCACTGATTCTTTTTGCAATGCGTCCAGCTGAATATTTCTAACACTCTGACCTCACTTGCATCGCTATAGCTGCACCGGAAGCCGATTTATCTGCATGGTTGCAGCCTTAGTTACACGTAATTGTTAACATGATTTTCTGCCCCATCGATTGTCTTTTTGGCACCCGTTGCGGTATGTAACCAGGAATTACCTAATAACCTAATCAGTGACGAGTATTATGTCGTGTTCGTAAGTATGTCGCGATGATTAATGTAATTACTCGATTTAATTTCTAAGACAGGAAACTCATCCCCGTTTTTAACCCTCTTTGACGCTTCGTCCTCCGTTCTTGGTATTTTTGCAGCCTCAATTTTCTGTACTATCATTGTGTTCCTAAGTGTATTTTCAAGTAACCATCGTTTCGTGACGATTTAATGATACCGGAAAAAGTGGGACGAAACGCGATGGTATTATCAAGGCGGAATTTTGTGGTATCACGAACGGTATTTGGCTGTACAATTGAAGGTATATATGTGGATGTACATTTTTACGGCTTCGTGTAATTAGAATTGTGCGATTGTGGAAAAGGATTAGGATTAAAGCTGCACGCTGCTTTGTTCTTTCCTACCAGAGAAGCCTGTGGAGTGATTGATAATTAATTGTAATTGTTCTTCCTACTAGAGGGCGGTAGATGTGAGGAAAAGAAGCACATTATAAAATTGATTTAAAATATATTAATGCTCGTAATGGAAAGAGACCCGCAAAAAACATTTCAGTTCAGTGAATTGAATTTTAATTCTCTTGACTAAATTCGTTTCCTTCGATCAACTAAAGTACCAATACTGTATTTCGTTTATTAAACTCTCCGTTACGTTTTTCTTTAAACCGCAACAAGAACTGCTTCGTTGCCATAGATGTCATTGCTCGATGACTCCTTACCAAAGGATATAAACATTCTAAAAAAGAAGGTCCATTTCTCCTTGAATTGGCCTACAAAAAGGAATAACAAGAAAAAGAGCTACATAATCTCGCAATAAAACTAAGTACGACCACATTATTAGAGTGGATTATATGGAAGGTAACGATATAGCCCAGGACAGGAAAGTCATCAAGTGCGACATGGAGAAGTCTATTAATTTACTCCTTTGATTTCTGAGCCATTCCAAAGTGGATGAGAAACCTTTGGAACGAAAGGGGTGCGTTTGGAGGATGTTGTGTCAACCCTCGAGTCGTTTCCATTCCAGAAGGTGTAGAGGAGGCGTAAATAACAAACACGGAGGTCATGGTTCCCCTTCGAAACTCATCATCAGACCCCCCACGAACCGTGGAACTGAATTCGGGGGATGAAGCTCGCAAATTCTGCACCATGAGCACGTTACGTGCTGCGTTAAATTCGCCCATGGGCATACATCTGCAGCACATGTCACAAGTGGTCTATGAAACGGCCGCAACCACAACCTTTACCGAGGCGAGGTTGGCTGTATCCCTTTTGCACACTATTTGTGACCAACAGTGTGTACACGCGTCGAATCAAGATGGACGTACAGATCGTGTACGCAAATCTGTCACTTCTGCGGCTACTGGATGTTACAACGTCGCTCAGTATCGCATTACATGTAATGTTAAAGGTCTGGTCTCGAGCCCTTCATCCGCTGCACGCTAAAGTGCCCTTATACTGATATTCCCAGCAATGGACGTGATAACGTGGAGTCAGAAGTACCACTCTTATACTTTAGGATACCTAGGGATGTTCCTAAGTTTCGTAACAAATCCGTGGAAGAAATTATTGTTAGAATACACCCGGAAGCTTAATAAAGTAACGCTAATTAGTGTATCTATCTTATACAGTCACTGCAATGTAGGAGCAATGATGTGGGTAGATCCTTCCAAAGGGTATGTCTAAGGAAAAAGTCATTTAGAATGATTTATAACGCGTGCATAGTTTGTTGTAACTGGTGAAATAACAAATAAATGTTGACTCATCAGGGTAAAGTCAATCTTCAGAGAATCGAATTACATTCGAATTACGTGATACCGTGGAGTCTGAAGTACCACTCTTATGCTTTAGGATACCTGGCGATGTTCCTAAGCTTTGTAACAAATCCGTGGAAGAAATTATTGTTACAATACCCCCGGAAGCTTAATAAAGTAACGCTAATTAGTGTATCTATCTTATACAGTCAGGACTGTCACTGCAATGTAGGAGCAATGATGTAGGTAGATCCTTCCAAAGGGTATGTCTAAGGAAAAAGTCATTCAGAAAGATTTATAACGCGTGCATAGTTTGTTGTAACTGGTGAAATAATAAATAAATTCTGACTGGTCAGGGTAAAGTCAATCTTTAGAGAATCGAATTAGAATCGAATTACGTGATAACGTGGAGTCTGAAGTACCACTCTTATACTTTAGGATACCTGGGGATGTTCCTAAGCTTTGCAACAAATCCGTGGAAGAAATTATTGTTTGAATGCACCCGGAAACTTAATAAAGTAACGCTAATTAGTATATCTATCTTATACAATCAGGACTGTCACTGCAATGTAGGAGCAATGATGTAGGTAGATCCTTCCAAAGGGTATGTCTAAGGAAAAAGTCATTTAGAATGATTTATAACGCGTGAATGGTTTGTTGTAACTGGTGAAATAATAAATAAATTCTGACTCGTCAGGGTAAAGTCAATCTCCAGAGAATCGAATTATAATTTCAGATACGATCTGATGGTCGGAGTTGTGCGATCGGAGGCCTACTTTTCGCTTACGGCTGATGATGCCCAATTCGGCGTCGAGGCGGATCGGCGTACGAAAATCCTTCGAGAATTCGTTCGCAATACTTACACCTACCACCAGCCGGAGATTTTGGCGACGATCATCAACGAATACACCGACTGGGAGAGACCGGTGCAGCATCCTGTAAATATTAGGTAATGAAATCCTCCCGGAATTATCACGCAAATATTGGCGGAACGCCGAGCGTCCGACCATCGTGGGCATATTTTCTCCCATGGGGCCGACGATTTTAATTGAATATTTGCCCGAGTAACGGCCTGCCATTTCACGCTTTCGTCCATCAAAAAATTGACAGAGGAGGAGGGCGCATCTCTGGCCCCTCTCTTTTCCTCTCCTCTTCCAAAGCGAGATTGGGAACTAACGCAAACACTTTTGCGCGCATTTCCGGGCAATTAGTAAAGGCTCGTTCGGAGGTGTACAGACACGTGGTCGCTTGATCGCGGATATTAATTTCCCACACAATACATAGGAAACGGGCACGGAATCAAAATACCCAACATCGATTGTCCTGACTTTTTTCAGGGACGAAATGCTCGAGGCTTTGACGGACGCGAACACGGTGGCTCCGGCTACGAGAACCGCCGATCTTCACAGCCAATCTCATAGGAACTCCTATCTCTACGTATTCGACTATCAGACCAAATTCGGCGACTATCCGCAGGTACGTTTACGTATATTAAGGGGTTACCACCACTTAGACCCACCGAAAAATTACGGTTTTTCAAGAATTTTTTTTCGAAGAATTAAAACGTTTTTATCCCAATTAAAGTACAGTAAGGTATTATACTACTATTAAACGACAAAATACATTTTTTGTATTTTTTTTATTTACAAAAATGGCGGCTTGAAAGACGATTTACCGGAGCGCTGCGAAAATCGATGATCCTGCGGTGGACACGATAACTCAGTCCAGGTTTAAGCTAGAACAATGAACAAAAAAGAATTTGTTTCTGTAGCCAAAAAGCTAGCGAAATACGTAGCCGTTTTCAAAAATATGCATTTTTGACATTCAACATACATTGAAAAAACCATTATTATAAGCCATTAATATTAAGACATCATTAAGATGTCTTAATCATTGCACCCAGAAAATTAATCGCAATTATTAATGTCTTAATAATTGCACCCAGAAAATTAATTGAGTAAGATTTTTCGTCAATTCGAGATAGCTTTAAGAAGCGTAGAAATTATAACTTGGCTGAATGGAAGGGGATGTGATGAAGAATTCCCGAAAGAGGAGGATCCCTCGATGTGGGACGTTTCAATAATTAGCCGTATCGCGAGCGCAAAATCGGTCCTCTCCACATCCGCAATGAACGGGAGTCTCTCTTTCGGGGCTGCGTTTCCTAGGAGGGGAATTTTTAGCTGAGCGGAAATGAAGCCTCGGTTATTTCCCGCCTCATTTCCTCGTTTCCTGGCGAAGACGAGGGATCGCAATATGGCGGCACACCAGCTACGCCCCGAAGGACTAATGCATAGTCATGACTCGTACTCTATCTGATTTCTGAAAGTTTCCGCGAAACGGAAAGGCTGCAGAGAGTGCCTACTGATAGGAGAACTCCGAAGGCGGTGAGCTTAAGGTGAAGTGAAACACGTCGAGGAACTTGATCGAGGTCGATAAAGAAGATTTTTCTAAATACCTACGTTGCCAACGTTCGTTTTTATATTGACAGCTGTGTCGAATTATATTGGGTATTATACTAAATGACATACTCCACCTCTCGTTTTCGTACAATAATTATAAAGAAATCGAAGAAAAACTCCAGAAATCCCCCGAATTCATGGTTTCAGAGGATCTAATTAACTGCAGAGGGACCCCCTGCGCCATCTGTGATTTCCAGATCAATTAAATTTTCACGCCGAGACCTCGTATTCCCATCATTTTAGCATAGGAGCGCATAAAACACTTTTTTTGCCTTTATCCCGTTCAAATACGAGTTTATCGATTACCAGAGTATTCTAAATTGTCGTAAAATTGTCCTGACCCTTTCGTTTCTCATATCAGAGCCTTCGATAATTGTATATGGATCGAAATATGAGAGCTCGACGGCATTTTGTTTCTGGTCTGGGCTAAATTAAAAAATGTTTTCAAAAAATCCTATTTTTTATTGTGTCAGGACAATTCTTAGATGATCATGGGTCAAAGTTTCGAACAGTTTGGTCCAATACCCTTAAAAAAAAGGTGTTGTATTCGAATCAACTGATTCGAAGGGGGTTTCACTTCACCTTAATGTGCACCCCTTAGGATTATACTATAGGTGTCCTCGTATTTTCCTCTACATTCGGCGAGCTTCGTGCTGCCGGAATTTGTCTCCGTGAGGGCGACGAGATGAAAATGGACCCACGAGAACGTCTACGTAACATGCACGTTACGTCTACGTAACATGCACGTTACATCTACGTAACATTCACGTTACGTCTACATAACATGTACCTTACGTCTACGTAACATGCACGTTAAGTCTACGTAACATGCACGTTAAGTCTACGTAACATGTACCTTACGTCTACTAACATGTACCTTACGTCTACGTAACATGCACGTTAAATCTACGTAACATTGATATTACTATTTCCTCCGCAGCTATACGATAACATTATAAAACGAATAATGTGACATACCTATAATTTGAAAACTCACTTAAGGTCTACAATTAGACGTTCCACCTAGGGTTAAAATTTCGACTCGGATAGTTTCTAACAGGATTCCCAATCTCGGCCTGTTCGGGTTCTTCCTCCTCGTTAGGGATATTTTCTCCATAAAATCAATTCGGAGCCGTTCACGCGCTGCTAAGGATAATCCGGACAAAATCGGAGGGAAGCGACATTATCGTTGCAATGCAAATATGTACTTTCGTTGATAGTCAACCCAATTACCTTCGTAGCTGGGAAACTTCAGCGAAGACCCCCTGATGAAGAAAATCGAAAGAAGGAAGCACCTAACTCGTTAATGAGCTGCACGGACTTAAAAGTCAGTGTCGAGAAACATTAATCCAAGATCATCACTAGATTCCACATCATTTCTCATAATAACAATTCATCTTGAATTCCTAACGCAAACAAGGCGGATACGTATTAAAAAGAATGGCCCACAAATTTCAAGGTATTATATCAAGGATTTGAAATTTCATTAGAGTTCCTAGGTAGGCTAGGTTAGGTTAGATCTGAAAATCGGTGGAGAAGAAAATCGAGAAGGAAAAAAGAGGAAAGGCTTAAACACGTGAGTAGTTCGCGGGACCGTCAATCCGCTCATGTCCCGGTCACACGGACGTCGGCTGACAACAACGCGAATTCATGGCGCGCACAAAATTGGGTTCTCTTCAGTATTATTGATCACCGGCCGGTGTAACGATACGATTCGGACGCAAACTGCGTTTCGCGAGATACATACTGGCCCGCGAAAGCGTATTTCACCTGCGCGTGCATTCGGCCCGATGCACTCGGCTGCAAAGGGCATTGATCCGGAATCCTAGCAGTCGCCCTGGCCTTTCCGTTCGCCCAGGAACCCGAGTCGAACTTCGATGTCCACCACGGATCCTCCCTAATCGAATGCACGGGAATTTCGGCCGAATGGCTGATTCCTGAAGGAATCAAGTTTCCCAGGCCCAGAGGAAACCCCGCAGCGCTGAGATTCGCTTACCCAGGACCAGCACTAAATGACCACCTTAACTCTTTGCACCAATAGACTCGTCATAGAGTTTAAATTTCCAACTACGCGATTATATCATGCGGGAGGTAACTCAAATTAAATGGTGCTTTGTTGACAAATTTTTCATAAATAAATCGATGCGCAAGAAGCTATACTGAAGTGAAACACGTGGAGGAACATGGTCGACGTCGGTAAACGAAGGTTTTTCTAGATACGTTGCCGTCGTTCGTTTTTATATTGACAGCTGTGTCGAATTATATTGAGTATTGTACCAAATAGCATATTCCATTTATCGTTTTCGTACAATCATTATAAAGAAATCAAAGTAAAACTCCAAAAATCTCCTGGATTCATGGTTTTCGAGGCCCTAATTTACTGCAGAGGGACCCCCTGCGCCATCTATGATTTCCGTGTCAACGGAATTTTTATTCCGAGACTTCGTATTCCCATCGTTTTAGCATAGAAGCCCATAAGACTCTTTTTTTGCTTTTATCCCGTTCAAATGTGAGTTTATCGATTACCAGAGTGTTCTAAATTGTCGTACAATTGTCCTGGCACTTTTGTTTCTCATATTAGAGCCTTCAATAATTGCATATAGATCGAAATACGAGAGCTTGACGCCATTTTCGTTCTGGTCTGGGGTATGTTAAAGAATTTTTTTCACAAAATTCAAATCTTGACAGTATCAAGATAATTCCTAGGTGCTCACTACTCATGTGTCAAAGTTTCGGAGGATTCTATTCAATGCCCTTAAAAAAGAAAAGTGTCTTATTCGAGTCGACTGATTTGAGGGGGGTTTCACTTCACCTTAAAGGGACCCTCCGAATGTAGGGAAGGAAGTAATTATCTATTCTTCGGGGATGCTTTAATCCGGAATCCTTTATCTTAAATTGAATGAAGATTTAACAATGGCCGCGCAGGAAACATTCCCAGGACCTTCTTTCAAGGATTCTTCGAGGTGCGGTCCTTACTTCTTTGCGATTGCAGCTCTTTGCGCGTTCCTTCGAGGAAGAGGTACGCAAGAATGGAACGCTTATGCAACGACTACACGAGAATTCTATATCCGCTTCGGAGACACCTGAAAATACTTGTCCTCGCACCTTAGAGACAGAACGGAGAGAGTTAAAGACGCTGAAAGCCCCTCTTCTGGGAAAGAATTGGAAAGGTCGTGGGAATGGAAAAACTGTTGAGATAGGAGGAAACTTCAACAAGGATCACGAAATTCTACATAGCCGCACTTGCCGATAGTATACGAAAAAGAAATGTATTAAATTCAAGATCCAAATCAACTGATCAACCCTTAAAGTGAAGTGAAACACGTCGAGGAACTTGATCGACATCAATAAAGAAGATTTTTCTAAATGCCTCCATTACTGACGTTCGTATTTATATTGACAGCTGTATCGAATTATATTGGGTATTGTACCAAATGGCATACTCCACGTGTCGTTTTCGTACAATAAATATCAAGAAATCGAAGTAAAACTCCAGAAATCCTCTGGATTCGTGCTTTCTGGGGCCCTAACTGACTGCAGAGGGCCCCCCTGCGCCATCTGTGATTTCCAGATCAATTAAATTTTCCCTCCGAGACCTCGTATTCCCATCGTTTTGGCATAGAAGCGCATACAACACTTTTTTTGCTTTTATCCCGCTCAAATGCGAGTTTATCGATTACCAGAGTGTTCTAAATTGTCGTAAAATTGTCCTGACCCTTTCGTTTCTTATCTCAGAGCCTTCGATAATTTTATATTGATCGAAATATGAGAGCTCGACGCCATTTTGGTTCTGGTCTGGGCTGAGTTAAACAATTTTTCCCAAAGTCCAAATTTTCTATGTGCCAGGACAATTCTTAGATGATCAGGAGTGATGTGTCAAAGTTTCGGTCAGTTTGGTCCAATACCCTTAAAAAAAAGTGTTGTATTCGAATCGACTGATTGGAAGGGGGTTTCACTTCACCTTGATGGTACTCTATAACTGCAAACCAGGACGTGTTAACTAGAACTTTAACTTAT